GTAGAGGCCTAGTGTTGAACAAGTTTCCACTCCTAGAGCAATCAAATAGGCATCAGATGCTGCAGAACCCTCCAGGGTCCATTCTATAATACTCTTTACAGGTCTATGGTTGAACCCTATTGTTACCAGTCCCCTTTAACCCCAGAGAGGCCAGTAGTCTTAGGGCTAAAGAAGTCCCCAGGATCCATGCGTGGAGAAGAAAGAAATGAGGATCCATGAAGCACAGATCATGGGGAATGAGAAATCACATGCAGCACAGCTTAGCAGCATCTCATCCTGAAACTTATTTATGGAAGAATAAAAGGTACCTGGAACCCACTGGATTTAGCTGTTTTAACTTCTCCTGGTGAAGGATAGGAAATTTCTGATGAAGGGAAGCAATTGTATGGTTATATTGTTCATTATGCCTTGCTTAGGTGGAGGAAGAGCTTATTTAGCTGAAGTCTGAGGGTTAAGATGCTGGGTTCACTTTATGGTTCTACTACTGGACAGCTAAAGCTTATGTCCTGTGCTATACTTTTTCAGATTTAATGTGAAGATAATACTATTTTCCTATTTACATAGGGATTTGTGAGAAATAACTGCAGGAGGTTATGCCATCTCCTCACCAGGAAAGGAAAGGCATACCAAGAGTTAAGAGCACTTACTCAATGGAAGAAAGAGATGAAAAAAATCTACAGGCATGACCTCAAGACAACAGCTTAGCTCTATTTAAAGGGCCAGTCCTTCAAAAGCATGCTGGGAAAAGTAGCCCAATTAGAAGAGAACCCAGTACTGATGGTCTTAGCAAGGCCCAGATAGTTGCATAAGCTGCTGCTCCTACAGAAGGGGCATGTATCTCCGTTGCATACCACTACACTTCACAAATATTTGTAAATGGCTTTGAGGTTCTGAAATTAAGGCAGTGAATTTCTTAGCAGTATTGTTGCAGCCCCAATGATTCTATTATGTGACTTTGGAGTGCAGATTTGTTTTTAAGTGAAAATATTATGGGTTACCATCTGTGTGACTAAGGACATTTGCCCCCACAGATTTACTTTTTGTACTCTGATTTCTTTAATATTTGGCTTTGTGAATATTATCATTTGCAGCTAGCCTCAGCTGTGCTACCAACTTTGCACACCAACGTCTAACCTGGCAGTAACCACTTTATATTCTGTTCATAGTCTATCACATAAGAAAATGAGGGGCTAGAGTAGTGCAGGTGCTAAGGCGCACAGTTGACAGCCCAGAGGTCACAAGCTTGAGGCCATGGCAGAAGTGCTCATGATGCAGCCATGTCAGATTCCAATGACTCTGCAAATTCTGCTAAATACCTTATCACAAGGACAAGAAAAAGGAACGACATATGAAAAAATATCTCCCTATTCTTACTAAGGGAAGCCGTAGTATTCAGTGTGTTTAAACAAGCTGACTTGAGGAAAACACATTCTTACAAAGTGGCAGAATTCCATCATAATACAATGTCAGCCCTCGCACTTCTTTGAGACCCATGTAAAACCTTCCTCCAAACCCTGTTTGGATTAAACAACCATCAGCCAGTGACAGATACAGTACACGATGCACAAAAGCAAAATACTTCAGCTCCTAATAGGCTTAATAACCTAATCTCCTGAATCAAAGGTACCCAAAGTACAGTGAAGTAGTTTGGCCCATCTTTCTTTTACCCATTTCCTTATTTTTAATTTCAGCTAAAAAACTGGAGCAGTCCTCAAAAAGCACTAACATATATTCAGCAGCTCCCAAGCTGAACTTAACTTAGATCTTTTTGTTGATTTGTTGGTGATGAATTATACTTGTCATGTTGGAGATGGCAATTTTCACATGCACGTGACTCATACTGCCATACACTAACATTAGCAATTTCATGATCCTCGCTTCCGTTTTCATTGCTTCATGTCTACAGTTAGACGTCAGTCCTGCAACTGTTATGATTACACAAAACTACAATATTGCCAAAGAGATGCCAGGTACGTACCACGTTCAACAAGCTTTCTCAGACTGCAACATTTCTGGGGCAGTAACTAAGTTTTTTTTTCTTTACCTAGTGCATATTTGACCCCAATATATGATTAATAAGGAATCGCTTTGCTAAGCGATCCTGGAGGAACAAGATTGTTTGAGTGTAATTAACTCTCTTGTAATTATTTAAGGAATCTTTTTGGGTTTTTTTCAGAGGTCATCATTCTTCTGTGCAATGTGAGCTTTTCCAGTGACCTCAAACAAAATTATTATGGCCATTAAAAATACTAATGGGAGTAATTAATGGGAATTGTGAATCATTTTTTAAAATAATACAGTTATCCAAGTTATTGATTTTACAGTTATATGAAACTTTTACTGCTTGGGGTTGACAGTCTTTTTCAGCATGAAATCAATGTGAAAGTTTGTAAAACCATAGGACTAGCAGCAGCAGCTTGTAGAATGATCAGGTTTTTTTCCACAGTTTTTTGTGCACTCTAAGAAAACAACAGGAAGGGTAAAGGGATCCTTGAATACATTATCCATAGTGAAAGCCAGAGTTAATAGGCTCCTATAAAATATTATTATGTAAAGTTACTTACGGGAAATCATGCTTGGCCTTGCACAGTTTGTAGATAGAGGTTTTAAACAAACCATTAGTTTGTCCATCACTTATTGGAGCACTGGGATTGTCTAAAAGCTTGTCAGTCTCACTAAGGCATCACAATGTACAGATGAAACCACATTTGATCGTTGTGGGTGCAGTGGACAGAAAGTAATAGGAGCAATGTCAGCAATTCTTCAGTGTAAAGTTAAATCTCTGAAAAGTGGTGAATCTCAAAGTGTGCAGCCTACTTAGGGGCATGGCTCCTACCCAAAGATGTGCAGGAGAAAGACAAAAGCAATAATTTCTTGTTTAAGCAGATAGTTGTGTATCAAGCTTTGCTGATCCTGAGCAGGGAATCTGATCCAAAATGCTCCTTGCAGGCAAATCTCCGATTGATCAGGTCCTATAAAACCTAGTATTCCTTTCCACTTATTGGAAATAAGAAAAAGAGTGTAGCACTTTGTGGTATTTACTTCTGCCTAAGGCTTGATACTTAGTTAACTGCTGGGGTATTGTAGGCAAAGGAGACATTTCCGAGAGGGTACCTCAGACAGCGGAAGAGTCGAGGTAGCGGAAACAGGAGAATCACCACATTGGCATGGTCTATGCAGGGGGAAATTAAGCCAGTTATAATCCCTACACTGTGTGCAGAATCCTGAGTATGCATAGGAATACACCCCAGTCAGTCTAGCACTAAGGTACAACAGGCTTCCTTCCAGAAAGTTTAATTACTAGTTTAGTTGAATTAGTTGAGTGCCATTGTGGATGCAGACATACTCTAACAGCTCAACCTGCCTTTCCACTGCTATCCTGAAGTGTACATCTGGCCTTGAAAAAACACCCAGAATATGTAAGTTGGATATGAAATGTTTGATTTTCATATCCTGCGTGAATGTGACCTTGAGGGAAAATTAAACCTCTGTAGTGAGACTAGTGCTCATGCAGCTCCTATTTTCCACTAAAGGCAGTTAGGTGTTATCAGTTCAACAGTAATTAAATCAGTTCTCTAGTAGAGTCAAGGCTACTGTGGCTGGTTTATTTCAGTATAGCAACCTACCACTAGCAGCTTAGAAGTTTCCTGGGTTATCTGTACTCTACATGTTACCATGGGAGGTAAATTATGGCCGTAGGTGACTGGATAATAAATTGACAACTAATCAATTCTTCTTCAAACTAATTTCATAACATTAGAGCAAGAGATTAAAAAGAATCAGGAGAGCACTTTTAAAATATTTGAAGGGCTGCCATAAAGATGGAAAGAAATGTTCTTCCTAGCCAAAGAGGGCAGGCAAGAAGCAGCGGGCTCCAACTACAGCAAAACAGACTTAGATGAAATCTCATGAAAAATATCCTTAACTATGAGAACTGTAGGACAATGGGATCCCATTCACTGGAAGCTTTGAAGACGAGGTTGCTTAAGCATATTTTGGGCATAGGAATCCTATGTTTGTGCAGGAGGTTACACTAAATGACCCTTGAATTACCTTCGAGCCTCATGATTGTATGATTTATTGCACTGGGGCTGCTTCGCACAGCATCATGTTTCCTTAAACTTGTAGAACTTTTACTGACAGTTCCTGCAATCCCAAGTAGATCTCTTAGCAGAAGCAACTAGTTGTAGTCACTTAGGTCTTGATTTAAAATGTCTTATAGGTACATAACTGCAACTTAGGCAACTAAAGTCTCCTTACAATGGGGCAGTTAAATGCCTGACACTGATACTATTTTCCTTTAAGCCAAAAGACCTTGGGTTAAAATCAAATCAATAACTTGCAATGATAACCAATTTGCTAAAATTATACTGAATGTTTATATACTTCTTGCTCTGAATATTGCTCATTCAGATATTCAGCTACTGTGCACAAGGGCTTGAATTTAATACTACCTTTTTTGCAAATTTTAGTGCTAAATCAGGATAAAGATAAAACTCAAACATCAACTCTGTTACTTGATTAATGAGAGACACATTTTGAAAATGTGCATGTAAACAGCCTCCAGAAAATATTCACACCTGCTGGCAAGCAACTTATTGCAGGACTGCACTGCACGTGGTAAATGGTAACTAACTGCGACAAACAAGCATTCACATGTCCATCTTCCCTGACGGGCATATGTATCCATAAGCAAATGGCTGCATATGTTCTCACATAGCTTGGTTGTTTTTAGTTAGCCCTAACAGTGTACATGCAGGTAGCCCATTTCTCTGGGACTCTTCCTTCAACTCACAATAGTGTAGTACATATACAGGATCCTTTTTAGTGTGCACAATTTTAGAGTGCAAATATGTCATGTTTCCAAGCACATTAAACTATTCATCATTACCATTTTTTCCCCTTAAACAGGATGCAAGCAAGCAAAAGCATTCAAATAAGACAAGACGCTTCAGGAAAACTGTATACATTTCCAAGCAATCATTATTGTATCACTTACGTTCTTTTGGATGACACTGTTTATTGTAAGACATCATTTTTATTAAATACACTGTAGTACAAGAGACTTTCCATGTCATGTTGAGAGAAGCTGGTCACATGATTCACAAACAAAACTTTTTAACACTGATACTCAGGCGTCACTTTGAAATCAGCCAAGATGCAATGGATCTTTTAAAGCAATGGATTTCTATAAACGAATTGCAACCCAAGAACCACTAAATAGCTGCACAGAGACATTACATTAAAAAAAAAGAAAACTAAAAAGAAAGGAGAAAGATAGCTCTAAACACCAGGTCACAGTTTTAGTGACAATATAGAGTTCTATATTTATATGTAGATATCTCCCTCTCGGTCTTGAGAGATAGAGAGAGTGATATCTAGAAATATATACATAAAGTATAGGTGGAGAGCTGGGCTGGGACTATTAAGTATATAGTAAATTGATTCTCTCTCTATTGGTGATGTAATTTAACATCCACATTGAATTGAATTACTTGTATATAAAACATTCTTAGCTGCTTATTCAACATTTGTGTTTCTTTAAGTTACAGAAAGATACATTAAGCTGCAAGGTATAGGCCTCTGAAAAAAAATTGATTTGATTTTTGTTTTCTTACATCTTCCTGTCAAACAGCCCCATTACAAGCAGCTTCTACTATGCTTGCCCAAAGTATTCTGTGTTTATAAAATACATTTCAGCCAATCTTCGCTCAGAACCTTCAACAAGCGAACAAAAAACACCATAGACCTGGTCTAGAATGCATAGACAGTAAAATAATATACCCATCATTTCCCATTTCTTCTCCTGAGACGTATGTTAAAAAGATGGCAAAATAGTCACTTGGTTGTTGTTGTGAAATTCACAGTGTTTTCCCTGCAACACGTAGACATTTTTTTGCTTCATATTTGTGATGAATGTAGCAAAAATAAAATAAAATAAAATAAAAAATAAAGGATGTTAAGATGTTTGAACTAAGGCTTTTCAAGGACCTCTTGACTCAGAGTAGCAGTGGTTCATCCCAGCCCTGACAACAAGAAAATACAGCTTTCTGTGCTATCAAAACCTTCATCTTCAACTAGAAACCCCAACGCCTCCCCTACCCACCCCTTGTATCCTGATAGCAGTATCTGAAATCCATTCACAGGCTGCAGCAACCCAGAGACAGTCTTGTTCTAACGCATGCGCATTGTAACTTCATCAGCCAGTGACTCAATCATTTTGTTGGGTAATTTCTTTTCTCTTTTGTTTTGTAAAAGTCTACATCAACCATAACAAAACTAGCTTCAAAGAGGAGCATGAGAAAGAGAGAGAGAAAGAGAAATAAATGGCAATTGTTTATTAAACTGTAGACAATATAGAGATATATTTGTTTACAAATCAAAATGAATGAGCTCCTTTGTAAAACTTGTACACTCCATCATGCATCATGGGGTGCTGTTGCTTTACAAATACTCTTCTCCACAGCCAGTTGCGGAGTCCTGCAGATTTATTGAGGGTGAAGGACAGAATGTGGAAAATGCCCAGTACTAGCTGCTGCTATTATTACTGCAGGGTTTTGGACGTTCTTACCATTGTTCTATCAGTCTGAATATTCCAGCTCATTCTTGGAATTATTTTGTTACTTCCAACAAGTGTAAATATCAGTGGAACAGCAATGTTGCTCTTGAACAATAAATCAATAGCCCCAAACCAGAAATGATAGTAAATCAAAATCTCTTCTTGGAACTTTGAAGCCAATCTGTTAATTTCCCTGTGAGAAATCAATGGATAAGATGAGAATGGTAGGACTGCTTTTATACAATCTTTTGGACAAAAATGTTGGTTGTTCTATATATTTCTGGCATTCTAGTATTTCCTCCACCCAAGTTAAAAAGTTAAATCCTATAAACATAGAAAAAGAAATGTCAAAGAAAAAAATGAATTTTGGTTATTTAGCAGACTTTATCAACCTATTAATAACACTGTATCCTAATTATCATTTGTAAGAATATGTGTCTGTAAATTTATACATATAAACAGTCATACATTCTGTATATGCCTGTCTGCATATGTATAAATTAAATCTTTATAACACACATATACATATATGTATATACTATGTATATATACATTCCATATGTAAATACATATATATAATTTATATTATATATATGATCAGTTGGTAGCATAGTCCAGAAAGATTTTTTTAATGAGCCTGATTGTCATATTTGCTCAGTTTACAAGATTTAGCTGAAGCTGCAAGCGTAACGAATGTGTACATGTACTCTCACTCCTCATTGCCATTTGAATGTAATTCTTCCTCCTTTCTGCTAGTTCTGCTACAGTTACACCCCCTTTCATAAATTAACAAAAAAGTTGTTTTAACTTTACTTAATAACTTGTCTACTTTGATTATAGCTTTTATACACTACTGCCCACACTTATGAGAGAGGCCAAGTACATCCATGCTTCTGGCTGTATGGAACATTTGGTCCTTTAGGTCTGACTTACTAGTATGTTATTGCACAGTGCATTGTTACATGCTATTTTCTTCTTAACAACTCTAGTATACTCTTCTCGTGAGGTATAAAGGGGATGCCACTAAGCCAAATTGCAGATTTTTTTTTTTGGTATATGTTCTTTCAGTACTTGCAAAACCCACCTTTTTGCTTTCAGCTTATGGCCTTCTCTCCAACAGAACAGTATCTTGGAGAAAAGGGGGATGCATGGTTTTGTAAGAAACAATGGCAGAATACAACAGGAAGGAGTTTGGCACCTTCCCATCTCAGCTCATGACCCTCTCTCCCTTCACACTAAGAGCATTGCCCCAGTACTCTCTGTTGCTTTCAGTCTTCTTGTCTACCTTCTGTTAAACCAAAACTGAATTTCAAGTTTCCTTTAAAAATAACTCAGACTCTCATGAGAATGGGTTTCGCTGAATGTTCAGTCTTTGTCTAACCAGACTTTCTCTCTTTCTCTCTCTCTCTGAATTTCTAAGACAGCCTTGATAAAATCTTAAAAGTCCATTTCACAGCAATCTTCCTCTAGCTTTTTTTTTTTTTTTTTTTTTTTTGTATTTACACTTCAATAGTGGTTCACAAATAACTTCTGGTTTATTAAAGAAATACTGAATATGGCTTTATAATTACATTGTTAAGTTTATTTGTAATGCTTCTTTTCACTGACAGAGAGAAGGGTTAAACTTCATCGCTTATCCAGTGAATTGTTTTATTTCCAAAAATGTTCAAAATCTTTTTGAACTGGCTTTAAAAGCTTATTACGGAAAAACAAAGTGCCATAATAAATAATAATTGCAAGCAAAGTATATATTAAAAATGTTATGGGAACACTTAGAAAAATAAAAATGCTTAATTTATTAAATAAAATAACCACAACACAAAGATGAAGAACTATTACTCTTTGATCTGGCTCATATTATTAAAAAAAAGTCAATTTTTTGCAATAACGCCCCCTCACAGAGGGAGGCAAAATGTTCTTGAGGAATAGGTATGATTGGTTTTCATTTGTAAGAGTTCATAATAAAAATAATCCTAAATCTAAATTTTAAATCTTCAGCATCTGTTTGAAAAATAACATATATGCCCATGCGCTTGCCGTCTACACAGTGCCATGCATGTGCTGTACGCATACAATGCATGTCCAACTAAAAATAAATAAATTAAGAAACAGTGGATGCTGGGAATGGCACCACTATACCAACCAGAAAGTGGTGCTGAAGTCAGGGTCTGTACACTCTGAATAGCAAGTGATAACCACAGAATCACATCTAGTTATCTCCAGGGACTTAATTCTATCATCCCCTGTCATGGCTCAAACATAATCTATGATTTCCATGTTTTAGATTACTTGTGTAGTATCAGCCTATCATATCTGTAACAAGGTAAAGACACTTGAACGTAGCTAATGACCTCCATTAGCTCTTTCTAATTAAATATATGTTATACCTTTATGGATTTGCTATGCCTATCAGGGTGTACAACAAGATGAACGATAGTTTCTGCACAAAGGGCATTAATAGACAAAGACCATGCACAATTTTGCTTGCACAGTGAGGGGAAAGGGAATGGGGAGGGAGAAGGGTAGAGATATGCTGCCTGACAAGCACAGTATAAGATAAACTTGCCACTGCATCTACAGCTTGTCCTAATCTTATCAAAGTCCTCAGCTTCAATACTGGACCCTGAAATTAATACTGTACATTAATAAGCCTGTGTGACCAAA